TCATAGATTGCGCCAGATCCACTTAAAGGAGCGGCGTAACATTTACTGACCGTACCCCTCATACCCGCCCACCCAACAGTGTCCAGTCCTGTATATCTTAGTTCATGACTAAAACACACTAACTACACTTTGTGAAATTGTTCAGGAGAGCCAATTTTCTAAACATTAACAGGCCGCTGAATAATTTTAACCACACAATATTGTAACCCTGTATTATAGATAACATATGAACCTCCAAATTATATATGTGTTGAATATTATTATTTTTTTTATTGGCTCCAAAGTTATAGCAGTTACTTAGTTTTAATTTGGGATTTGTGAGTTGAATCAAACGAAATAACTAATATAAAACACAGTATCGTAGTATTTAAAAATTGTAAATTCTTTTAAGCAGTTTATATTTACAAATATACATTTATAAATAACAATTAATGAAGTTTTTTTTATTATGGTATCGAGGACTGGAGGAGGAACTATGGGGCTAGTACTTCTCCTGAACAATTAATGAAGTGAGGTGTTCCTACCTACTTATAAAAAAAATAAAAAAAACAATAAAAAAAAATTGCAGTCCTTTCTGTTCACATTTGATAAAATGATAAAATATAATATAAAAGTATTTACTTTTATATTTACAAATATAAATTTATAAATAACAATTAATGAAGTGAGGAGTTTGAACCTACTTAAAATAAAACAAATTAAAAAACTATAAAATTAAAAATAAATTGCAGTCTTTCTGCTTACATTTGGTAAAATGATAAAATATAAATGTATAAATAACAATTAATAAAGTTGGGTTTTCTTACCTACTTATAAAACAAATAAAAATAAAATAAAAATTAATTGCAGTCCTTTCTGTTCACATTTGGTAAAATGATAAAATATAATATAAAAGTATAATTAACCAAGTTAAGAATACTTACTAGTGTAATAATTCACAAATAAGTAATAAAAAATACATCATTCTGCACATTCATTAATAAATGTATCTGATAGTCCAATTTCACTAACTAGGTCTTCAGAAATTAAAGAAACTGGTAAGGTAGTCCAAAAATGGGTATATTTATACTTTACCGGACACCCTTTTTTTTGTAATTTTTTTTTTTTGAACCTATGTAGTTTTGTATGCTTAAAACGATAGTGAAGTCAGAATTTGGGGCTCGGACTTAGTTTTCAAGTTACAGGCCTATGAAGTTTAACGCTTTTTCACAAGTCTCTTAAATAAGTAATTTGGTAATATCTTCATATAGTTAGGTGTGGTGCAGTGGTCTTTAAATTGGTTGCGGCCTGCAACACCCCAGGTTCTAGACCAGGAATCCAGTAAAAGTTGTTTGCAATATTTTTTATTCTTTTTGAATTATTATAATTATTTTTTTTTTTTTTACTCTGTGACCTACTTGGCTAAAATCTACTTTACCAACCCCCTCACGATTTTCAAATTTTTTTTTTTCAAAAGACGTTTTTTTATGCTTAAAACGATAGTGTAATTTTTTTTTCCCGGAAACTATTATTTTAGAAGTTATAGCCTTCCAAAGTTTACGATTTTACGTTTATGCGCATGCGCGCAACGCTACTTGACTGCCACGCGCGCCAATAACAAATTTTTTTTTTACGTATTTTAACAAGTTTTGGGACATAGTCAGTCTTGGGTAAGTAATATTGTGAATCACGTCATTATTATGGTGAAATATAAACTATAGTTGAGTACCTAATTAGACTAATAGACTAAGTATATTAGCCCAATTAAAATAAATAATAAATAAATACTGTAAAAATGTTAAATATATTTGATACAAATTTTAAATTTGCACAGCAAATCGGAGGATATTTTCGTTTTTAATTGTCCGAGCGAGCGTAGCGAGCGAGTGACCCCGCTCGGTGACCCGGTGCACCAAAAATGCAATTTTCTTAACCCTGTGACCCACTTGGGGAGGTGTTGCACAGCAAGTCGGGGGGATATTTTCGATTTGCGGAGCGGAGCGACGGCGCCGAGGAGCGTAGCGACGAGTGCCGCTAGCACCGCATCACGGTATGATGTTTTTTCAAATTGGTGCCTCGGTGCAACAAAAATGATATTTTCTCAACCCTGTGACCCACTTGGGGAGGTGTTGCACAGCAAGTCGGGGGATATTTTTGATTTTTTTGTCCGAGCGTAGCGCAGCGAGCGAGTGGCAACGTGGGCATCACTGAGCGGGCACGACTATAAATAATTTCGAGTTTGGTGTCACTGATGGATCGTTGGTATATGATGGTATAATTCGTGGTATAAACTTCCTTATCATTTTTCGGACAACTACAGACTGCCCCCGACCCATAATAACGTTTAACTTACAATCAACTACAATTGTACAATCTACTCTACATATTATTATTACAAGTTTATTTACATTTTTTTAATTTAACACGTTTTTGTATTGGCCATTCATTGCCGTACAATTAGCTATTATTCCGCCGGTACTACCAATCTTACAAACTTGAACATTTGAACGTGTTTAAATAAAACATTAGTCTGTTATTCGTCTTGTTGCTCGCCACTGTCATCGTCACTGTCGCTACTATCATCGTCACTGTCGCCACTGTCATCGTCAACGTCGTCATTGTCATCATCTTCGCCACCGTCTTCGTCACCGTCGCCACCGTCTTCGTCACCGTCGCCACCGTCTTCGTCACCGTCGCCACCGTCTTCGTCACCGTCGCCGTTGACAAAAGTGTGATGTTCGGTATTATCCACGTGATAAAGCGTGCCAGCGTGTTTGAAAAATTCCGTCGTCGGGTCTAAATTATGTAATCGGCAATGTTTGGTAAACATAAATTTGGCTAAATACCCAGCATAAAAAGACTTTTTCCGGCAATAATTTGACATTGATTGTTTGGAATGTCTCCATGTACTTTCAATGGTGTTGGAGTGCACACCTGTTACCGGATCTTTAAAGTGAAGACTATGGTTCACAGTCATGTGAACATAGCCTTCATCTTTTAAGGTATTGTAAGCCTAAAATAAAATAATTTATTACATTTATAATTTAAATGTATGCAAAAGTATACTACCTTCCAACAATCTGATATAATAGTTGTTCCGGGTTTTATCCACTCCTTTATGACGGCGAGGAGGGTTGTGGCACTACGGTTCTCAACCGTGACCATGAAACACTTACCAGTTTCCCTCTCATAGCCTCCAAATACCCATTGGCCTTCGACTCTATGGCCCCTGTGGTGTTTCCGACGTCCGAATTTGGATTCGTTAATTTCGACGATGTGACCATATCCACCCAATTTCGTCTTATTGATCACCATCATGTCATATGCCACTTCACGACAAAAAGACGACCAGTCCGTTAAAGTTTTATCCGTAAGCCTCATTTGCAATCTCATTACCGGAAATTTGCAGTTCATTGTCCACAAATTGACAAATCCACATATTGTCAGTAATGAGAGATGCGACTTGTAAAAAAATGTTTTGTGTCGGAGTGAAAGGCTACAAATAATAATATTTTTTTAATACATTTTTAATTTTTAGTTTTAAGTTTTTTAATTTTTAGTTTTAATTTTTTTAATTTTTAGTTTTAATTTTTTTAATTTTAAAAAGTTTCGTGAATTGTATTTAATTTAAGAAAGTACTTACCTGTAGTTGCATGCTTTTTTCCCCTTTTTACCACCACATTTTTCACGGCAAATCCACTTAAAATTGTCTAATGTAGATTGATCTTTAACCAATTTCATTAAGTGTCCACGTAAACATTTTTGTTCAGTTGGTAAAATACCAAAATTTTGTAATTTTGTGATTAGACCTAAGCCGTCGTTTAGGTCTGACCACTCTTTAAGGTCAAATAAATTTATATGTTTTTCAGCTGCCATTGTTCACGTTACTTTTAATGTTTTCACGGAAGTAGAGAAAAACGAAATGATCAATAAGTTTTTGTACGTGGTAACGAAATCTTGTAGATTTTGACATTTTATGTAATCGAAAAACTTATAATAGGATGAATGTACTTAATCTACAATTTTATGGTATTTTAATGGAACGATAAACCTAATAAAATGTGTTATTTTTATAACTTTTTTCGTTTTCGTTTTTTTTTTCATTAGAGCGGTAAAGAGTAAATGGCTGGGCAAGTCGGTAAGATCAAAAGAAATTTTATTTTTAATTTCCATAAAAACTCAAAATTATAAAAAAAATTGAGAAAAAAAGTGCAAAAAAACAAAGGTACAAATTGAGTATCGAACCCGGGCTTTCCGCGCAGGAAAGAGGAATCTGACTACCGCACCATAATTCAGTATAAATAATTTTGATCAAATTACCTATTTAAGAGAATTGTGAAAAAGCGCTTAACTTCATAAGCCTGTAACTTAAAAACTACGTCCGAGCCCCAAATTCTGATTTCACCAACATTTTTTTTCGTTAATAAAATGACTAAGTCAAAAAAAAAAATGGCCAAAAAAAGGGGTGTCCGGTAAAGTATAAAAGTTCCCAAAAATGTTTTCTATTATTTGGCATTAATGGAAGTAATTTTTTTACTATATCATTTTTTTTTTCAATGTTTATACCTCGTGGTTCTATGATTTTGTCTGGTTCATAATCAATGATGGTTTTTAAAAATTTTTTTTGTAAAAAGTCCTATTCTTTTGGTGCCTCATCAAAGTTAGTATAATATTCCATTTTGGTAGATCCTTTTAAAAATTTTACCATCACTAGACTCGACAATTTAAAACCTTTTATTGGGTCATTCTTAATGGTAGTGGATCGTTTCTTGCTTGACCAATTAAAAAAATGTGTTTGATCAATAATGTTTAAATTTGTTCTACTTTCCTTAGTTTTATTTTTGAGATCATCATAATCATATATATTCCTTACCTGCTTAAATTTTTTCTCTATGTTTCCATGAACTCCATCTGCTGACATATGGGTATGGCCTTTTGTCAAGTATTTAATAGTGACACTTTCTATAGAATTGTTGTGCTTAGAGTTCACAGTGCTGATTAATGCTGTGAATAATACCCAATTTTTGTTTTGACCCATGCAGTTGTCAGTCCAAAAAATAAAATTTGGAGCATCTCTTTCCTCTCTCAGTATGGATAGTATTGAATCTGCAATGTTTTCTGCTTTTCTACCAGCTACAGCTTCATGCCACAGTACACAATGAGATTTGCCTTTTGGTCTTAAGGAAGCGAATGTTTCATTAAACACTATTAAACGACTTGTGAAAAAACAAGTTTTTGAATCTGGTATCATTGGTAATAGAAGAATTTTTTGGAGGTCCATGGAAAATACTTTGGTTGTGCTGCAGGTATTTATATTGGCATCCTTTTTGTACATAGTGTTTGCTTGAAATGTTTTGATTTTATGTTGCTCTAATTTAGTTGTAAGTTCCTCAATTTCATCTTCATTAATTGAATTTTCTATTTGATTAGCATAAGTGGTACAATCTTCACATTTATCAGAAATAGGACTTTTTAATGAGATATTCAATTCTTTTAGAACACCTCTGTAAGTTTCTTGTGAAAACAGATTTCCATATCTCAAACAAAAATCTTCATACATTGATTTTACAGTCAATTCTCTTGGCAAAAACATGATATTGGGAGTATTATGTCTACGATAATGACTAGAACATGGATTATACATTTTTATATGGTTAATTATTGAGGTCTTGTCAATTTTTAGATTACTCACACCAGTTTTGTTACCTCTATTTTCTTTTGCAGTTGATAGACATGGACTGTCACAATTTTTTAAATTTTTATAAAGAGCTGTTAATATAGAATCATTTGAATATCCGAATGTGTTGAGAAACATTGATCTACATACTCTGATTTTATCTTTCTTAGGTCCAGCTGGTAGATAAAAATAACGAGATTCATTCCTTTTAAAATTATTTATGAAATCTGTTGTTGTTCGACGCTTAACTGGAGACACTGTAATACAAATTCCTAAGTACCTTCTTCTTGAAATTTAATCCATAACCCAGAAATCACTCCAAATTTGTTGTCGTTGATCAACCAAAATATTAATATTACACTTATTTTTACATATTTCTGGACAGGGAATGTTTCTAAATGGATGTTTTATTTTAGCATTTTCTATTTTACTTTTCCTCTTTTCCTGCCAAACTGCATGTTGATCTTTCTTACTGAGTTTTTTTTTAATATTACAACCATCATTATGTGTAGCTGTTTCATCATGATCAGAATGTGTTGCACTTAATAAAACATTTTCATCTAACACATAAAAAAAACATAATTCATTCAATTAGTGAAGGTAGATTTAAACTAAAATATACTCAGATGTAAGTTGTAGTACCTGGTCTTGGTGTTTCAGTCACACAACTTGAATTTAATTCAGTAGTAACAGTGAAATAGTCATGATCATGTAAGACAGTTGATAAATCCGCCATTGAATCAACCAATCTAACAAGCCATAATGTTAAAACAAATTAATGTTAGATTACTAATATTTTACATTCAGACAATAAATAATAATATGTAACTTACCTATTTACTTATTGGCTATTAAATTATAATTTATAACTTAGAAAATATCGAGGAAAATATATAATTGTTAGTTACTGTGTTTCAGTTTTGTAAAGTTCTTATCATATAACAAACTCCTGTAGATACTTGTTTGTAAATTGATAAATAATCATCCGAATCCAAAGAAAATAATATGGTTTAATTCAGCATAACAAGATGACAATGAGGATACAAAAAAGTCGATTTTGATAAGAACGTTAGTTACTGTGTTTTAGTTTTGTTCAGCCGCCCGGGTGCCCGTGTAGATAAAGCGTACACGGAACCATCCGTGTATATAATCGATACCCGGCTGATTTATGCGCATGCGCTTTAGACACCATAATTTTATTTCTATAATAAGTGTTAAAACTTTTTTAACGTTTAGCGAGTATATACTTTTCTCTCAAACCAACCGTAAGTTAACACTAGAAACATCTTCAGCAATAATATTGCTGTGTAGAATTAATGGATTTAAATGCTTATAAAAAATTAATCCAAAATAAGTTGCTTGATGAAACAGAAAAGGTTATAACTAGAGCTATGAATTTGTAGAAAAGTGCATTTTTTTGGGGGGATTGTGAAACGTAGCTTCGTAAGTACATAATTTGAATTATGTAACTACGAATCCATTTATGAAACTTTTAATTTGCATTTTTTGACGTTTTTAATTTTTTATGTAATGTTTTTGCATTGGTTTTTTAGGGCATATTTTCCTTTTGTAGTTTATTTTCTGGTATTTTTAATCAAATATTGACATGTTTACATTTTTTGTTATTTTTTCTGTCCAATGCAATAGTAAAGACTAAAGATAAATAAATATATTTAAGTTTGTTTTATTATTTTAACAAAAACAATACATAAAAATTTTTTTTCAAAATGTTGCAAGTGAATAATATTAAACAAAATTTAACCAATATTTTTATTATTTTTTTTTTTTATTAATTAAACACATTTTTATGCATGTAAAATGTAATGAACTTATTTTATATTATCCTATAATATCGATATAAATATAAAAATTAAATTAAAAACTCTTTAAGTGAATTGTATGCTATAATTTTTGGCATTTTATATTGTATACTTTTGACATTTTTTAAGTTTAAGTTCATTAAATTCACATCCTTGGTTATAACATTAATATTCATATGCTCATAGGTACATACCCTATCCGTACATAAACTTAAAAGTCGTTCATATTATATAGTTTTATTTTATTTCACATATCGTGAAAATAAGTGAAATAATTAAAGATCCATAGGCAAAACAAACTAATTTTCAATCATGTTTTTTGGGAAATTTATTTTTCATTACATTGATTTTAAATGAACAAATTATATTAAATACTTTTCAAAGTATCTCAGAATATCTTATTAGTTTATATATTTCCATTTAAATTTTTATCATGTAAATCGAGAATATAATGTATCAATATATAGCTTAATGCCTTAATATAGGGATAAAACAGATTTAACCAATTACAAGCCTATTTATTAGTTGGAATCCTAGCCAAAATCCCTGAAAAAGGTCCAATATTATTCTTAATTTATATTATCCCTTAATACAAATAAATCAGTATACACAACAATAGTCACAAGTCGTTCACAGCTGCCTGATAGATACAACTTTATAATACACAAATATAATACTTATTTAACCAGTTACAATGGTAAACCAATTAATATGGTATTATCATTCAAATATTTATGAATAACGTTGGATTTTGATCTGAAATAGTCAAATTATATACAGAATGTTAAAAATAAAATAGTTATAAGACAAAATATGGTATTATGTAATTATATAAATAATGAAGACATTGGATTCAATTTTTTATGATAAATATAATTATATTGAAATTAATGTAGTCAGTCAAATTTATTATAACAACTTAAGCAGAACCAAAAACTTGATTTTTTCTTTTTGGATGTTACGTTGACACATTGTTTATGGTACAGCGTTAAACAGGAATTACATAAAATGGAATCTTCATCATTTATCTCACTTTGACAAGTAGGACACATCCAAACATTAATTTCCTTTTTTAATTCAATTATGTCTTTGAGTAAATCCCAAGCATTAGTACTACACAATGGTTTGATTAAATGAATATTAACTTCTGGTTCAACTATTCCCATATGAATGAGTTCAACGTGAGTTTTTATGTCGTCCCTTTGTATAATATAATTTTGTTTTCTGACATTTTGGGCAATTGAATGATTTGTTAACCACTGAATAATTATAATTTGTTGCTCTAGATAATGTTTGAGTCTAAAAGCAACTGGTTCGCGCAATCCTTTTTTTTTTGGTAATCCAATAGTTATCAATATAGCTCCTTTGGGTAGACCACAGGTTTTAATTTTAGTTGGTAATTTTATATCACAAACAGCTGAAATGGACAATTGGTAAAATATTAAAACAACTCAAAATCTTAGTAATAATTGATTAAAAATAATATAAATAATACCAATTGAATGATTTGTAGAATCTGATTTCAGTACATTGGTTATTGTAATTGATGTTGTATCAGGTTGATCTGGAAAATTATTCATTATATTTTTCAATATAAACATTATTTAAATTTATAATTTATATTATACAAATAAAAGTATTTAATTAAAAAAAAATACCAAAAGTAGGTAATGACAAGTCTTTAGCTAATTGATCAGTTGAGGCATCATTAAAAATAGATCTGTTGACATCAGCATATTTGACATTCATTAATCCTTCAGCAGTAATAAAATAGTTATGATCATGTTAAGTGGTGTTGACATTTTGTTTCCTATAACTTGTGTCCATAAAATCACCTAAAAAAACATATAATATAAATAGTATATTTATATTTTGTATGGGTACCATTGCATTTGGTGGGTAATTATGTTGAATAATATGACAATAAAATAACTCTCAAAATGCAGTAGGTAGATATTATGTTTTTGGTTAATTAACTAGTTCAGTTTTGTTTACCATTTAAATATATATTTAACATGTTATCATTGCACACATTGGTATCATCATCATTAATATTTTCTATGTCCATTGGATCTTCTATTTTTTCATTATGGCCTTCAAGTTGTAACGAATTTCAAGTCTTGGTGCTTGTTGAGACGTTAACTTTATTTATATGCATATAATATTTTACAATAGTTTCCAAAGATTTGTTTTACAATATTATTATTCTCGACTTAATGTCGTTTATACAAATAATAGTTGTGGAGTTACAAAGGTATGGGGGGGAAGATGACAATTCACGATGACTTACGGATTCGGTAATTATCTTGTTTGATTGTATGGGTATGTCTAGGGCGGCAGCTATTCGGCTCCTAGCGATCTGTGTTGGTAGTTGACTGGGCGGCGGCTCTACGGCTCTGCGGCTCCTAGCTGGCTGGTTTGCTCGGTGAGGCGTTGTTAACACAAAACTGGGTGGAATATGTAATATCGTATATTCTACATTCCAATCTAGGATGTTAGTAGAACATACGATATTTGCCCCGTTCAACCGAGTGTTGCTCCTGCCTTGGAGTAAACACCAAGAAGGCACCACGGTTCGTCGAGACCAAGTTACTCGGTAGTCGGTAGCTATAATGGTTTGGAGATCACCGTATGAAGGTATAACACCTTCCGATGACCCTTCTACCAGCTACGGGAAAACAAGGGGAAGATAGGTGGTCGCGACGGTGTCTATGATGCCTTTATCTGTATGTTTAGGATCGCTGGTCATTGGTTTTTTTACGTACTGCTTTTTGGATTTTTATATGTCTAATGATGATTTTTCATGTGTTACTGATTTTTGTATTTTTCTTCAGGGTCTTGACTTGTTGTTAGTACTTGGTGTTTGAGCCTAAGTGTAATTTGATGGTTGTATAAAATAAAATAGATAATTAAAAAAGTGTTTGTAAATGCCGTGATGACTGCGCGCCATCTATGTTGTATGGCGGCCCGTCTTAGAAGTTTACCGCGAGTTACGCCGACGCAATACACAAGAGCGCGACACTGGCATGCTACGCGATCTTGTCTCGTTACAAAGTATACATAAAAAACATATAATATTAAAAAAATTAAATTAAAAAAGACACATTTAATTAACATTATATTTAATAATATTTGTATAGGTAAGCTTTAGATATTTATTTTATTCAGTTAGAAATTCATGCCACTATTATATAACTATAATTATTTGAAAATCAGTCATAATATTTTTTCAAAGTTATGTGACGTGTAATGCAAATTACGTCTGTCCTAATTATTTATATCAACTACCAAATTACCACTGCACGTATATCCTTGGTATACGTATAATATATATATATACGCATAATGTTTTGTCGAATTTGTACTATTGAACCGTCGCCGCAGCCGTTATTCATAAGGAAGCCCTATGCCGTGACGATAACCGCTGCCCACCTACCATACTGCACACCCAGCATTTTTTTTTTCCTTCTCTTCTTGCCCTCCGACCTGGACGGACGTCTCCGGCAACCAAAAGCCTGCGTCCGAGTTTTTTTTTCCATATATTGTGTAAGGCTTAAAAATGGAGTGTGATCCACTAAATCGTTTCTGCGGCGGATTACCGTCGGTGGATCGGATGATGAGTGGAATGTTTTTTTGTTTAACTATGTTGGTGTGTGGATTTTTGGCTGGTATGTAATTATTTTTTTTGTTCCTTTTATGTATATAGAAATATAATGGTATGTATACCTAGAAAAAATATGTAATGTATACAGTGGCGTAACAAGATGGGAATAGGCCCCGGGGCAATTAATAAATTAGGCTCCTTAATTATATATGTAGGAAAAACAACATTATACGTTATATTGTTGTTAAAAATATAAATACCTACCTCTATAAAACCATTAATAAAAATAATAAACAGATAATAAATTGATACTCAAAATAAAAAGGAAATCCATTTAATTACTAAAACAAATTTTAAACATTAACATTTTATCATTATTAATTTATTAATTCTATCTAATCAAATCAAATAAAGGCTATAAAATCTAATTTATAATCTTTTACGAGCTAATATTAGCAAATTGATCTATCACTTCACTTAAATCCAATTTTGAAACTGCCTTGTTTTCAACTGCAATCAATGATAAATATTTGAGTCGATCTTGTCCGGTACTATTTCTAAGATAATTTTTGATTATTTTTTGTTTGCTGAATGATCTTTCAGCTCCTGCTGAAGTTACAGGAATGGTATAAAATAGTAAAATTGCCATGAACACTTCTGTTATGTCACATTCCATCACTCCAAATTTGGTTATTATATCCTTGCATAACTGGTAAACATTACACGTCTCAGTTAATTCAGGAAAAGTTAGATGGTAAACATTGAGAAACTGGAGCGAAAAATTTGGTCCTATTACATCCGAATACTTGCTTTGAAACTGATCACATTTTTGCAACAGAGTTCTTTCGTCAATGCTACGTAATACTTTTGGAGTTTAAAAATCAAATATTTTGTTGACTTTACTCATACCAATAAAACGTGTATTTAATTGAGTGATAATTATGTCCAATATATTATTAAAAACGGTTATTTTAAATATCTCTTCTCTGTTACCAAATCGGTGATCAGAAGCTAATCCGTCAAAGTGTTTTTTAATTTTGCTTTGCGGTTTTACTTGAACATGAAGATCAATATCATATTTTCTTGCAGTTTCTGTGGCCTTATTGTAAAATGATTCAAAGTCATTTCTGTACATTTTCAATTTGTCTTTAGTCTCTTCTAAAACGTTACTTGCTTGATCCAAATCGATATCAACTTTTTGTAAAATTTTGGATGCATAATAATTTATGTTGTTTAAAACATGGTACATGCATTCACAAAGCAACACAAATTCAAATTTAAACATTTTTTTTTTTAATATTATCTGCTTCATTGCGTTCGTCAACATTTTTTGAGTTAAGAGCTATTTCAGATAGAGATTTAATAATATCAAAAAACCAGAGTTTATCTGCAGTTATTGTTTTTATCCTACCAGACCATCTTGTCGGATTTAATTTTTTCAATGTGACTTCAGATTCACAATATATTATAAAAATGTACGCGGAAATTCCTATGTACGTCCCAATCGTCTTTAATATTAATTACAAACCTTGGTGGCCGTTGTGCGATAAGATAACGATTACTCCGTAGTCGAACACCGATCATTGCATATTGTGTGTATTTATAGGTATATAATGTTCATATTAAATTTCTAATATTCAATTATCATATTAAAAATATCCAACCTTTTTTTCAATTTTATTTCAATTATTTTACGGATGTATTTTTAAAACTTACCAAAGCTCTGAAGGCCCCTAAGCTCTAGGGGCCCCAGGGCACTGCCCTGCTTTGCCCGATGATACCTACGCCGCTGAATGTTTACCTCGGCGTCTACGACGAGCGTTTTGTAGTATCATTTTCATAATTTATTATTGTAATCGGTGGCATAGTCATATGTACGACGACTGTCAAAATACATATTATACTTTTTCTTTGTCCGAGTTTTATGCCGTTCGGCTCTCTCGGCGTCAAAATAATTCCAACACAAAAAAAATCAATAAAAACAATAGATTCTTTTTTACATTTCGTGTTCGTTTATTATATATATACAAAATCCACGATGCTCCGGTCTTTTGGGCCTCGGTTCGTAGTTGGCGACCTTGTCAAACGGGCGACCACATGACGTTCGACGATCAATTTGTCTAGGCAAATTGTCGAACGGTCACAGTTATAGAAATAAATAAATATCTAAGATAAAAAATATAAAACTAAAATGTTTAGTCAAAATAATTGCCATAATATTTACCATACATTTGGTGGATAATTATGTTAAAGAATATATAAAGACAAATGACAATGTTAAAATAACTCCTAAATGCAGTATAATGTTTTTGATTGATTAATTAGTTATGTTTTATTTACCATTTAAATTATTATTTAATATTTTACCATTGGACACAATGGTATCATCATCATCATTAATATTGTCAATGTCCACTGTCTTTTCTATTTTTTCATTATTGCCTTGATGTATCCATAAGAAAACATAAAACATTAAAAAGTTCACATTTAATAAATAATATTTGTATAGGTAAGCTTTTAGATATTTATTTCATTAAATTAGAAGCAAATGCCACTATTATATAACTATTATTTTTTTAAAATCAGTCAAAATATTTTTTCAAAGTTATAGAAACAAATAAATACCTAAAATAAAAAATACAAAACTAATATGTTTAGTCAAAATAGTTGTTTGGTATTTATCTTCTAAGCAAGTTATTTTTAACAAGCACTGTTAGTATTTTAAGATGGGTAGGTATTCTGGTACTCAGTGGTCGAGAAAAATATTTTTAAAAATAAATGAAAAAATGTATAATTATAAATTATAATGAAATTAAATAGTTTCAAAAATATCAATCTATAAGGTATAATGGTTTATTTTATTTATAATCAAGGCCCTTCCTATATCCTTATATTAATATTATAATAGTAGTAGTAGTATTGAACTTTTATACCATCAATAACTGTAATTGAAATCTCTTTCCCATCACTCCAGCTTCTTAACAGTAAATTAAGTTGTTCAAATTTTCTATCAAAATGGACATTGGATGTATATGAAATAAGCTCAGCAATTTTAGTAGTACAAAGAGATGCCTTTCAAAATTTCTCATGACTACTTTTTGGTTTTTTTGATTTAATCTGTTCTATACGTGGTTCAACATTTATTTCCACATCATATTGTTCATTACATTCAGAATTGACTATGGCTGTTTTTAAAGCTCTTTGTGATCTGTAGTAGAATTCTCTTGACCATCGTTTATCACATAGCGTTGAATCATACAAAGGAAAACTTGATTTTTGTCGATATTCAAATATATGACAGCATGGCAATCTCATTGCCATGAAAAATTGACAATTACATGTTTTTTCGGTTGTATTTTGATTAAAGGATACTTTACTGAGAAATTGTTTATTAAGAAATTCAAATGCATAAAGTGTTAAAAGATTAAAATATTTAACTAATTCTGGATTTTGTAAACTAGTAGTTGGTTGTTTTTGAACCATTTTCAGTGCATTTTTATCCCTTTCTAATCTTAAATATCCAATAACAACAAATAATTTTTCGACAAATGTTTCCAAATTTGAAAAAAATAGGAATTACACTTTTTAATTTACTATTAAAATTTTCTAATCTATTGTTTGTTAAATTCATAAAGTTCCCATTACTGCTAGTTAAACCTGTTACCCATTCATTCCTTAAATCATGCAAATTATTATTAAAGTACTCTAAAACTGAATTAGGAGCAACTTCTTGTAGATGTTTATACAAACAGGAATAATAAAATAAGGTATAGGAGCGACTAGCGGCGTAGCGCAAGAATGTAAGGAGTGTAGAATCTCCGGACTCTGAGTGTATACACTATGCACTGTGCATTAGCAATAATTATGACATGTGTATCTTTTTAAACAATTTTTAAGTATGCTTAAAAATATGTTATTTATTTATTTAATTAGTGGTTGATATTATGATAAGCATAACTGAACTGATAAGACTAAATGGTTGTATACGTCTTGTATATAAATTCTTGTAGATATTATGTTGCCGTGTAAAACATAATATAAAATAAAAACACAAGGCTTAACAAAAAAATATATTTTAATATTCCACAAAATATTTAATAATATTAATATTAGGTATTTGAAATATACATGGATTTACATGTAACCGTGTAGGTAAAAACATAATATAAAGAAAAAACATTGGACATTGAAGCTTAACAAAAAAATACATAACTGTCTTCAACAAATTTTATATAACAATATGAAATATACATGGACTTACATGTAGTAAAACTTAAATAAAAGAAAAATATTAGGTTAGGTTACTTTTTTAAGAATTAAAACATTTTTTAAATTCTTGAAATGTAGACAAGTTGAACCATTTTGAATAAGACATTTTTAAATTTCATTGTCGTCATTATATTCATTAAAATTATTCTTCAATTTATCTAAAAGTCATTATTCATTATTGTACCTATCTAGGATTTCAAATTAGCTTTTTCATCACAACAAGTTTATTCTTAATTTCCTAAGTTTTCTAATGTGACATCATTGTTTTTATTAAATCATATTATTCTCCATAATGATATCATAATGAAAAGTAGAACAAATCAGAATATTTTAGATACTTATATTTAGATTTGCTATTTTGCTAATAATTATTTTCTACTAATTTGTTTAAACATTGGTCTCATTAATTAATAGTGTATACCAATACCTTTAGAAGACGATTGACCTCATTTAAACCTCTGGCGTGTACCAAAATTCCGCAAGTAAAATGGCAGTCATAATTATATAGTATTATATTGTATTGAGTATACACTTGTTGAAAATTAAAGTATGCGAGTGTTTTAAACAAATAGTTGGTACCTATATTGATATAACTTTTTAAAAACTTTTTAAAGGACTGTAGTTATATTTTACAAGGTTATTATTTGCACAAAACCAACTATTTTTAATCAATTTGAGCATATGAATACTTTTTTAAGTAATTTGTTTAAACTTTAGTCTCATTTAATAATGTAAAAAATAGTATAGCTAAATAGTAAATATTCATATAATTTATTATTCGATTGCACCTCTTGTACGAACAATGTTCACTAAGTTTAAATTGTGAAGTATGTTTTTATTAGGCATTTATTAAACTGCTGACTTTCTTAAATTCTATATTTCTTTAGATACCTACCTTTATTGGATATTAACGAATAATGAATTTCCTTTTAAATTTAGTTTACCATACATAACTTAATAGCTCAATCATTGTAGTAATGTAGCATATTAAAATTTACTAAATGACGACAATAATGTATCATTTTATTAGTGAATATTGATCCTTACATATCAAAATTGTACACAGTTCAAATGTATTCACATTTATTAATACTAAATTAAGTTTTAAAATTGATAGTCTTTCAGAAATAATGAATTTTCTTTAAAATGTATTTTACCATGCATATCTTGCATATTCCTTGCTTATTTGAATATACTAAAATGTAGTAAATGGTTTAACAATTATTTGTCTTTATATCCTTTCTTATATGAAAATTGTACACATTTCAAATCTATATTTATTTATTAAAATTAAATTAAAAGTCTTAAAATTGTCCTAAATCCAGACTGAAAACGCTTCTAAAAATGTTCAATCCCGGTCTAAAACCAGTAAAACCTAACCTTATTCACCATTCAGAATATATTACGATAATTTTTACTGGTGCAATTGACATATTTAAAATACTTGATAATTATGTTTGATGTCATGATTAGGACTATCCATGCTACAGATGTTAAACCCTCCATGGGCCTATCGTTTTTTGTTTTTGCTCAAGCCATTGGAGCAATAGGTACAATTATTTTTAAAAAAAAAGGAAAAATTGATAATACATTAATAATAATTAAATACATTTTTAATAAATTCAGTCAAAATGGTCTTGTTCTAGACTTCTAGAGTATACATATTTGCTCATATTTTTATGCGTATATGTTTGTGTTTAAAGCTTTTAAGTCTCTAAGTCTAGCCATAACCTTTAGTCTTTTATGAATGAATTATTAATTTTAATAAAATTAGTGTAACAACATCCAAGCCCTAGTTATTATAATTTAATATTAGATTGATCATATCTTTATGTTGTGAAAAGGTGATGTTCTTTCAAAATCTGTTTGATTTTATATGCATCATTCAACATTATGTTGAACGCCAGGTTTAATCATACAAGTTTTTGAAATCAATGTTGTCATTTTGCAGCGTTTAGAAATGATATACATATTTAATATTAAGTTGATTCAAACATAATATGAAAGTATAGGTATGTAAGTATGTTATTAGTCTTACCAAGGCTCGGAACTTTAAGCATTTGCATATTTGTTTAGAAAGTGCATATTGAAAATCTAATTCGATACAAATTTAATTCATAGTAAGTATATGGATATTACAAATACAAAAATGTTTGTTGCATAATTTTGAATATTTCGTGATTTTTTGTACAAATTCGCATATTTAAGCTATAAGAACATTAATTATATGCATATAATATCATAGAATTAATGTGAACAATTTTTTTTTTCGAAATTTATACTTTTATATTGTTTGATAAAATAAATTAATTCATCAATGGCTATTACTATTGCTCCCAAAAATAATAATATAATCTTAATATCTACTACTGAGAACTTGTAATAGTGATCGCTGACCGGCCCGTATTTATTTTTATTCAAATTTAAAGGCACAAAATATTATTTATTATGATATTATTATTGTGAAAATGTGAAATTTATCAAGTTTATAATACTAATGTAGTACACCAGTAATTAGTAGTATCTGTCAGGATTGCCAGATAATGTTTGAGCCGCATCGCCAATAGAGCGTGTTCAAGTCGCCCAAAATAGACATTCGATTTGATCAAATAGATAGTTCAAACTAGCCAATGTCAATATTTAATTTAATAATTAATACATTTGTACATAACTATTAAATTATTTTTGTTTTTTAACTAATAATTTTTAACTTTGCATAATATATTTTGTATACATTAATATATAAATGGCATTAAGCAAATCGCAAAGATATCTGTGTATTTTATTTATGAAAACATAACATAACTGGAAGTTGTTTATTAAAATAATCAATGTATAGAATTTATAACTTTATTAATTGTTCTCAGCCTTTGAACATTTTTTTAAAAAATAAAAAATATCACATGGTTAAAATGTATTAACAAATATAGAAATAACAAAACAATATAAAATTATCAGTACCATTAAGTCTTAAAAATGAAATTAATACTCTTATTATCTTTTATTCATAAATTTAAATATACATAAAAATATAATCAGATTTTATATAGTTACTTACTACATAATAATACTAATTTAACAAAATAAAATATCATTATACAATCATACTGTGTATAAATTGTATTGAGCATTATGCACCACGTATTACAATAAATGCAATAAGTCATTAATTAATAAAAAACATCATATAAATTAATTTCCTGGGCATCTTCACTTATAAAAATGTCCATAACATCATCTAATGCTATCGCCGAATCCACACTTTCTGATGTATTTATTTTTGGTGAATCGTACATATCAGATGTAAACTTATGAAACATTGTTTCTGTTGGTTTGAAGTTTTTACAGCATATTTTACTGGCCTTATAAATCGTATTGAAATAAAAAAATAATAATATATAAATAATTTCAATAAAATGTATTATCTTTACCAAGTAACTATAATTTACTTACATTAAGATTAAGCCTGATTCTGAGAATTGCTTGCAGCATATCGACTTGCATTCGATTTCTTGATTTGCATTTAACACAATTCATAACACTAAATACTCGTTCTACAATAGCATTTGATAATGGTAAGGAAAGTATTTGCAATACAAATAGAGCCAAGTCCTCAAATTTTTTTTCATCTCCATTATCTCGAATATTCAAAATATCTATCCAAAACTCTTGAGTACTTTTTTCATCAATAGGGGTTGATGAATTACAAATATCGGCGTATCTTAAACATGTTAGATTTCTCCATTGTGTTTCTAAGACTTCCATATCTGTATTGCATCCTACAAAATATCAAAAATTATAAATTATTAAATATAAATANTGCTTTTGCTGCATTTCTTTGTGTCATTACCTTATTTTTAATATCACTGAGACATTTATTTAGTGTCTCCTCTGTGTAATCATGATAATGTCGTGAGCCAACTGCTCTTTTGTGTACCTTGGGCATCCTAAAAAACAAATATCTATTATTGTTCTGTATATTACATTATAATTGTGTTACTTTGCACCAATCGTATTGTGGTGCAAAGTTGAGCAGAAATTAGACAATTTTGATTTTTTTTCACAAAAATTTTTATAGCTATGAAAAAAAGTTGAATTGAACTTAATATCATACATATTCTTAATGCTTATAATATTTCTGATAGAATAAAAAAAAATTTACCTGTGAAATTAAAATTTGAGTTGACGAACAGGCACAATTTTCCCGAGCGTTGTTTTTGTGTATTTGTGATAAGCTGTTATCAAGAGTAGGCGTTTTGGAGGGAAATCGACATATTGAAGTTAGAACTATTTCCAAAGATATTTAACAGTATCAGGAACAAAATGATAACATTTATATTTTTCTATCATTAGTTGTTAACGAGATATTTTGTAAAATTACTTTTTTTTTTTTTGGTGCAATGTTACCAAGTATGGTGCAAAGTATCCCCAAAATACGGTACTAATGTAGTACACCAGTAATTAGTAGTATCTGTCAGGATTGCCAGATAATGTTTGAGCCGCATCGCCAATAGAGCGTGTTCAAGTCGCCCAAAATAGACATTCGATTTGATCAAATAGATAGTTCAAACTAGCCAATGTCAATATTTAATTTAATAATTAATACATTTGTACATAACTATTAAATTATTTTTGTTTTTTAACTAATAATTTTTAACTTTGCATAATATATTTTGTATACATTAATATATAAATGGCATTAAGCAAATCGCAAAGATATCTGTGTATTTTATTTATGAAAACATAACATAACTGGAAGTTGTTTATTAAAATAATCAATGTATAGAATTTATAACTTTATTAATTGTTCTCAGCCTTTGAACATTTTTTTAAAAAATAAAAAATATCACATGGTTAAAATGTATTAACAAATATAGAAATAACAAAACAATATAAAATTATCAGTACCATTAAGTCTTAAAAATGAAATTAAAACTCTTATTATCTTTTATTCATAAATTTAAATATACATAAAAATATAATCAGATTTTATATAGTTACTTACTACATAATAATACTAATTTAACAAAATAAAATATCATTATACAATCATACTGTGTATAAATTGTATTGAGCATTATGCACCACGTATTACAATAAATGCAATAAGTCATTAATTAATAAAAAACATCATATAAATTAATTTCCTGGGCATCTTCACTTATAAAAATGTCCATAACATCATCTAATGCTATCGCCGAATCCACACTTTCTGATGTATTTATTTTTGGTGAATCGTACATATCAGATGTAAACTTATGAAACATTGTTTCTGTTGGTTTGAAGTTTTTACAGCATATTTTACTGGCCTTATAAATCGTATTGAAATAAAAAAATAATAATATATAAATAATTTCAATAAAATGTATTATCTTTACCAAGTAACTATAATTTACTTACATTAAGATTAAGCCTGATTCTGAGAATTGCTTGCAGCATATCGACTTGCATTCGATTTCTTGATTTGCATTTAACACAATTCATAACACTAAATACTCGTTCTACAATAGCATTTGATAATGGTAAGGAAAGTATTTGCAATACAAATAGAGCCAAGTCCTCAAATTTTTTTTCATCTCCATTATCTCGAATATTCAAAATATCTATCCAAAACTCTTGAGTACTTTTTTCATCAATAGGGGTTGATGAATTACAAATATCGGCGTATCTTAAACATGTTAGATTTCTCCATTGTGTTTCTAAGACTTCCATATCTGTATTGCATCCTACAAAATATCAAAAATTATAAATTATTAAATATAAATACTTGTATTAACTTTTATATACTTAAAATCTCAAGCGGAAGATCACTAAATCTAGGTGAAATAGATGAAAGAACCATTTTGGGATCAAAATACCGTAGTTTTTCAATGGTTTTTATGTTATGTGGTAGTCGTTTCAGCAGTTCTTCGCAAAGGCATATCAAAAATTTTAAGCAACGATTTTGAACTGCTTTTAAAGCCTCTGGTTATACAATTTTTTTGTTAGCAAGCTCTATAAATGCAAAGACAAAATCTACAGCGTCTATAGGTAAGATCGCAAGTGGGTTTATTAATGCTTTTGATATTATATCAATTTCTCCAATTAGCAAAGTACCTGAACACATGTCATCACGAAGAAAATTCGGCCTTATGATTCGTTTAACTATAGACATCAAAAGTAATTTTAAATCTCCGTACACTTTAGTGATATCCTAATTGGTGCTTTGAAATAGCATATTAACACCAGTGACTTACTTTAAAATTGGTTTCAAAAAATTAAAATACAACAAATTTGTATCATCTTTGTACATTTCGTTTAATGTCCGTGCACTATAACACTTTTCTTTTTGTGATGCCAATTGAAAACATGTTTTTAGTTCAAGCCATTGGTCGAGAATAACTTTAATACAATTGTAAAAAGCCAGCAAACGAGTAGCACATAGTTTAACTAAACGCCTTTGTTTACTTTCTGCACCATTAATTGTCTCATATAGTCTACTGTTCTCCATTTGACGAAGAGGGCTATGAGAAAACCAAGAAACAGATTCTCTTAGCATAAATTCAATATGACTAGGTAGAACTTCAGATGCCTTTGAAGAACATGTGTTGAGGAAATGGCAAACACATTTAATTAATTGAACTTTTGGAGATATTTCTCGTAATAATGTGAAAAGTGAGTGATTCACACCACATAGATTACTAGCGCCATCAACACCTAACCCGATTATATTTTTGGGATTCAGCTTTAGTTGCTTCAAAAATTCAATAGTACCATCATATAGTGCTACAGCAGTTGCACGTTCAACTACAACTAAGCCCAAAAACTCATAACGAATTTGATTTGTAGATTTACTGAAATACCTTATACAATATGCCATATACTTCATAACAGATACATCAGTTGACTCATCTACTATCAAAGAATATCCAATTTCCACAGGTGAAAAACGTTATGAAAAACACATGCAAATTATACTAATTAGTAATTACCATGTTGTATAAAATATTACCTTAGGACAATCAGCAATCTTGTAGTTAAAACATTCACTGATATGATTTGCTAAATCATTTTTTCTAGCATATTTTCTCGAGCAATGAAAACATTCCTAAATGATTCATCAAAATATACCCCAATTATTTTAAAAGTAATCAATAATATAATTTTATTGAGAAATATTTATTAACTCACAAAAACATCTGATTCAAATAAGTGACCACATTTAATATGACGGATTAGGGTGTCTTTCCGCAGGAATTTTTTATTACAGTAATTACATTCCTATTATATATTATAAATCAATAATCATAAAAAATTACATTTATTTAACAGTATATTGACTTACAAAATATTGTTGGACACGGAGAAATTGTTTTCCTTCTTTAACACGTTTTGGATGTACACTTTTTTGATGGCGTTTTAGTCCATCAAGACTAGCAAAGTTTTTCTGACATAATTCGCATATCTATTTCATAAAATAATATCCTTGTTAAGTGGTATAGAATTATACCTGTATATGTTAAATTTTAAAACATGTTAGATTTCTCCATTGTGTTTCTAAGACTTCCATATCTGTATTGCATCCTACAAAATATCAAAAATTATAAATTATTAAATATAAATACTTGTATTAACTTTTATATACTTAAAATCTCAAGCGGAAGATCACTAAATCTAGGTGAAATAGATGAAAGAACCATTTTGGGATCAAAATACCGTAGTTTTTCAATGGTTTTTATGTTATGTGGTAGTCGTTTCAGCAGTTCTTCGCAAAGGCATATCAAAAATTTTAAGCAACGATTTTGAACTGCTTTTAAAGCCTCTGGTTATACAATTTTTTTGTTAGCAAGCTCTATAAATGCAAAGACAAAATCTACAGCGTCTATAGGTAAGATCGCAAGTGGGTTTATTAATGCTTTTGATATTATATCAATTTCTCCAATTAGCAAAGTACCTGAACACATGTCATCACGAAGAAAATTCGGCCTTATGATTCGTTTAACTATAGACATCAAAAGTAATTTTAAATCTCCGTACACTTTAGTGATATCCTAATTGGTGCTTTGAAATAGCATATTAACACCAGTGACTTACTTTAAAATTGGTTTCAAAAAATTAAAATACAACAAATTTGTATCATCTTTGTACATTTCGTTTAATGTCCGTGCACTATAACACTTTTCTTTTTGTGATGCCAATTGAAAACATGTTTTTAGTTCAAGCCATTGGTCGAGAATAACTTTAATACAATTGTAAAAAGCCAGCAAACGAGTAGCACATAGTTTAACTAAACGCCTTTGTTTACTTTCTGCACCATTAATTGTCTCATATAGTCTACTGTTCTCCATTTGACGAAGAGGGCTATGAGAAAACCAAGAAACAGATTCTCTTAGCATAAATTCAATATGACTAGGTAGAACTTCAGATGCCTTTGAAGAACATGTGTTGAGGAAATGGCAAACACATTTAATTAATACTAATGTAGTACACCAGTAATTAGTAGTATCTGTCAGGATTGCCAGATAATGTTTGAGCCGCATCGCCAATAGAGCGTGTTCAAGTCGCCCAAAATAGACATTCGATTTGATCAAATAGATAGTTCAAACTAGCCAATGTCAATATTTAATTTAATAATTAATACATTTGTACATAACTATTAAATTATTTTTGTTTTTTAACTAATAATTTTTAACTTTGCATAATATATTTTGTATACATTAATATATAAATGGCATTAAGCAAATCGCAAAGATATCTGTGTATTTTATTTATGAAAACATAACATAACTGGAAGTTGTTTATTAAAATAATCAATGTATAGAATTTATAACTTTATTAATTGTTCTCAGCCTTTGAACATTTTTTTAAAAAATAAAAAATATCACATGGTTAAAATGTATTAACAAATATAGAAATAACAAAACAATATAAAATTATCAGTACCATTAAGTCTTAAAAATGAAATTAAAACTCTTATTATCTTTTATTCATAAATTTAAATATACATAAAAATATAATCAGATTTTATATAGTTACTTACTACATAATAATACTAATTTAACAAAATAAAATATCATTATACAATCATACTGTGTATAAATTGTATTGAGCATTATGCACCACGTATTACAATAAATGCAATAAGTCATTAATTAATAAAAAACATCATATAAATTAATTTCCTGGGCATCTTCACTTATAAAAATGTCCATAACATCATCTAATGCTATCGCCGAATCCACACTTTCTGATGTATTTATTTTTGGTGAATCGTACATATCAGATGTAAACTTATGAAACATTGTTTCTGTTGGTTTGAAGTTTTTACAGCATATTTTACTGGCCTTATAAATCGTATTGAAATAAAAAAATAATAATATATAAATAATTTCAATAAAATGTATTATCTTTACCAAGTAACTATAATTTACTTACATTAAGATTAAGCCTGATTCTGAGAATTGCTTGCAGCATATCGACTTGCATTCGATTTCTTGATTTGCATTTAACACAATTCATAACACTAAATACTCGTTCTACAATAGCATTTGATAATGGTAAGGAAAGTATTTGCAATACAAATAGAGCCAAGTCCTCAAATTTTTTTTCATCTCCATTATCTCGAATATTCAAAATATCTATCCAAAACTCTTGAGTACTTTTTTCATCAATAGGGGTTGATGAATTACAAATATCGGCGTATCTTAAACATGTTAGATTTCTCCATTGTGTTTCTAAGACTTCCATATCTGTATTGCATCCTACAAAATATCAAAAATTATAAATTATTAAATATAAATACTTGTATTAACTTTTATATACTTAAAATCTCAAGCGGAAGATCACTAAATCTAGGTGAAATAGATGAAAGAACCATTTTGGGATCAAAATACCGTAGTTTTTCAATGGTTTTTATGTTATGTGGTAGTCGTTTCAGCAGTTCTTCGCAAAGGCATATCAAAAATTTTAAGCAACGATTTTGAACTGCTTTTAAAGCCTCTGGTTATACAATTTTTTTGTTAGCAAGCTCTATAAATGCAAAGACAAAATCTACAGCGTCTATAGGTAAGATCGCAAGTGGGTTTATTAATGCTTTTGATATTATATCAATTTCTCCAATTAGCAAAGTACCTGAACACATGTCATCACGAAGAAAATTCGGCCTTATGATTCGTTTAACTATAGACATCAAAAGTAATTTTAAATCTCCGTACACTTTAGTGATATCCTAATTGGTGCTTTGAAATAGCATATTAACACCAGTGACTTACTTTAAAATTGGTTTCAAAAAATTAAAATACAACAAATTTGTATCATCTTTGTACATTTCGTTTAATGTCCGTGCACTATAACACTTTTCTTTTTGTGATGCCAATTGAAAACATGTTTTTAGTTCAAGCCATTGGTCGAGAATAACTTTAATACAATTGTAAAAAGCCAGCAAACGAGTAGCACATAGTTTAACTAAACGCCTTTGTTTACTTTCTGCACCATTAATTGTCTCATATAGTCTACTGTTCTCCATTTGACGAAGAGGGCTATGAGAAAACCAAGAAACAGATTCTCTTAGCATAAATTCAATATGACTAGGTAGAACTTCAGATGCCTTTGAAGAACATGTGTTGAGGAAATGGCAAACACATTTAATTAATTGAACTTTTGGAGATATTTCTCGTAATAATGTGAAAAGTGAGTGATTCACACCACATAGATTACTAGCGCCATCAACACCTAACCCGATTATATTTTTGGGATTCAGCTTTAGTTGCTTCAAAAATTCAATAGTACCATCATATAGTGCTACAGCAGTTGCACGTTCAACTACAACTAAGCCCAAAAACTCATAACGAATTTGATTTGTAGATTTACTGAAATACCTTATACAATATGCCATATACTTCATAACAGATACATCAGTTGACTCATCTACTATCAAAGAATATCCAATTTCCACAGGTGAAAAACGTTATGAAAAACACATGCAAATTATACTAATTAGTAATTACCATGTTGTATAAAATATTACCTTAGGACAATCAGCAATCTTGTAGTTAAAACATTCACTGATATGATTTGCTAAATCATTTTTTCTAGCATATTTTCTCGAGCAATGAAAACATTCCTAAATGATTCATCAAAATATACCCCAATTATTTTAAAAGTAATCAATAATATAATTTTATTGAGAAATATTTATTAACTCACAAAAACATCTGATTCAAATAAGTGACCACATTTAATATGACGGATTAGGGTGTCTTTCCGCAGGAATTTTTTATTACAGTAATTACATTCCTATTATATATTATAAATCAATAATCATAAAAAATTACATTTATTTAACAGTATATTGACTTACAAAATATTGTTGGACACGGAGAAATTGTTTTCCTTCTTTAACACGTTTTGGATGTACACTTTTTTGATGGCGTTTTAGTCCATCAAGACTAGCAAAGTTTTTCTGACATAATTCGCATATCTATTTCATAAAATAATATCCTTGTTAAGTGGTATAGAATTATACCTGTATATGTTAAATTTTAACTCTATTTATATTTACATTTTTATATTTACTGGGGTTCTTCTGAACGTTAAACGTTGTGGACGTGTGGTGAATCTTTATATGCCGTTCTAAAGTACCTCTACGATTGAATTTTTTATAACATTTACAGCATGCCTACAAATTGTAACTATAAATTAAAAGTTATTAATTTAATTGATAAAATTACTTTGTACTTACAAAATTATTTTCAACAATGTTATTTTGAAGATTGCAAGTCAAAGAAGTTGTTTGATGACGTTTCAAGTTATATGCTTTGGAAAAATCTTTTCCATATTCTCCACAAATCTATGAAGCATGATTGACAGAGCAAGATACATATCTTGACAGCCAGCGACCTACATCGGGGAGCAGCCTGTGCGTTCGCCTGCCGTTTGGAGAGCGGTCCCATTTGGATTGCCACGCTCTGATGCTGATGGCTCTTTCCTGCACCTTGATGCCGCTTTTGGGCGTCGTGTCGTCCTGGTCGTCGAGACGCTGACGCATCCTGGCCCTCTCGTTGGCCACAAGGTCAGCTGGAACCATAGACGCGAGCAGTGAGGACGCGTCGGCCGATACGGTGCGGTAGGCTCACGTTGTGCTGATAGCGACGGTGCGCTGTGCCCTTGCCATCTCATTCCGGTTTTTTGCTGTTTTGGTGCCTTGGGTGGCCCAGATTCCAGCCGCGTAGAGCATCTTGCTGTTGGCCACTGTTCCCAGGAGAACTCTCTTGCTCTGCGAGGGTCCGCCGACGTTGGGCTTCAGTCTCCCTATGGCGAGCGCTGACTCGGATGCCTTGGCCGATGCCTGGTGAACGTGCGTTGTGAATAACAAGCGCGTGTCGAACTCGACCCCGAGGTATCGCAGGGTCCGTTTGACGGGGACCGCTTGACCTTCGACGATGAGCTCGGGGTCGTTGAACAGGCGCTTCCTGGTGAGTACTATTGCTTCGGTTTTGGCTGGAGCTAGTTGGAGGCCGTTCGTGTTTATCCAGTTTGCGACCACCCCGAGAACCGGGTTCATCAGCGTAGTGGCAGACTCGCCGCTTCGCAAGATGCCCAGAACGCAGACGTCATCCGCGAACGCCACTAGCTGAACGCCGTGGGGCATTTCCATGTCGAGGAGATTGTCATAAAATACGTTCCAGAGGGCTGGTCCGAGGACCGAGCCCTGGGGAACGCCGCACGTGGTGCTTCGCCGGAGAAGCGTCCAACCAACCAGTGTGTGCCGATCCTGGAGGTAGGACCTGATGAGCCGTATGAGGTAGGGAGGAACGTTTTTCCTGCGGAGTGCGGCGTCTATCCTTCTCCATGGAGCGGTGTTAAAGGCGTTCTTTACGTCCAAAGAGACTGCCACGCACAGGTCTCGGTGCTGAACGGCCCCGAGGGCGGCGCCGTGGGCCGTCTCCAGTAATCGCTCGATCGCGTCCTCTGTCGACCGGCCGCGTCGAAAGCCGTTCTGATTTGGCGATCGGAGACCAGTGCTGTCCAGGTGCTCGTCGATCCTCGAGGGGATGAGCCGCTCCAGAAGCTTGCCTGACGAGTCTAGCATACACAGTGGCCTATAGCTGGACGGTTCACATACCGGTTTTCCGGGGCCTTTGTGCTGGAGCACAAGTCTGGACTCCTTCCATCGAGCTGGGAAGGTGCTGTGGAGCAAGCATCTGTTGAATGCGTTGAGGAGCACTTGTGGCCTGAAGAGGACGACTTTCGCCAGGACCTCGTTCGGGATGCCATCCGGTCCGGTAGCCTTGCCAGGTGGGAGTCTCGTGCTGCCACGCGTAGGTCGGCCGCTGTAAATTCCGTTGTTGGCGGGTGTTCGTCGGCGTCTCTCGGGGTAAGAGGCACGCGGGACCAGTCGGTCGCCGGTGGGTTGGGAAACAAGTGATCTGCGATCTCCGCCTCCTTGCCTCTGGCTTCCATTCCCGGGCGGTGCCGGCCTATGTGCTTAGTGACGACCCTGTACGGGAGTCCCCATGGGTCTGAATCCACCGCTGCACACAGGTCGGACCAGCTTTTGGCCTGGGAGACTGATGGTTAGTCGCTATTCTTTTCTCTTTTCCTTGTAGGCGACTCGTAAGAGTTCCAACTGGTCAGGTGGGTCGTGCCCTGTGTGGCCAGGCTCTGAGCCGTGGTGCCTTGCTGTGGTCGCAACAACGCACAAGTCCGCGCCCTCAGTGCATGTGGCCTTCGATTTAGGAGCGGAGGGATCGGTGGCGGGCGTTGGTCCTTGGAGAGGAGATTCAGGGCGTTGATCACCTGTTCTAGTGCTCTGGCGACTTTTGACAAGCACGAGCCGATGAGATCTTCGTTATAGTATTCGTCGGCGAGGCTTTGTGCGAGCTCGCAGGCGTATTCGGTGGCTCTGGTCGCTGCGCTGAGCGCACCGGCAGTGTCTGTGGTGGTCGGTGATTTCGTTGATGCTGGTGTTTTAGAAATGGTTGGGATTTTGAGCGTCTTCCTTTTGATCGGGGTGTCCATGGTCGGAGAGCTCGTTTGTTTCCTCTTGTGTTGAGGGTTTTGGTCGTGGTTGTTTTCCATGTCCCAGTTGTCGGGCACTGAGGACGGCATGCTACCTAACCTAAAACGGGGTCGCGAAGGCCAGGAGGAAAAAAAAATTCTGTTGGTGGGACCTTTTCCGGAAGGTGCCTTAGGTTCCTTATTCCCGAATCTGGTGATCGTGGCTTGAAATCCGCCGGAGTTATCGGAATTTCCGTGTGGAGGAACAGGGCGATGCCTCCAACCCGTTCGTGGTTACCGCAGCTCGATCGGAGCTCTGGTTGTCGCGTACCGTCAATTTCAATTCGATTTTTATCTGCCACGGGGATCGCGGTTTTTCGCGACCGACGCGATCGCGGTGGCGGCTGTTGCGCCTGCCAGGGGGATCGCCGTTTGGGTGGCAGTGTTATTATATGGAATTGTCATCCTATTGTAAGAATGCAAAACACCGGTTGTTTTTGTTTAATATATAGTGTTTTTTTTTTATTCTTGCATTTTGAAAAGAATTATCATATTTATTTAATTGTGTTACAATATATTCTTTTCATTTATATATATGCTCTGTTGAGCTACAGATATTTTATTTCAGTTCAAAATAATTAATTTATTCAGTTTTGTTGTACAGTATTTTCTTTTAACATACATATGCTCTGTTGAGCTACAGATATGGTTTTTATTTAAATGTGGGATGATAAATTATAATATTTAAAGACTCACGTGGACCGTGAAAGTAAGAGACAGACTATGTGTATGTTGTGTCCAATGGCAGCCTACTCTGCTGGTGGTGCTGGATGACAACGATACAAAAATGTTCCCGGGCGGTGGCTTGACTCGTCCTCAGGGTATAGGTACTGCACTCTCCTCGTCGACTGGTTCCAACGTGGTTGATGATATTGATATGTATCAATGTGGTATCATGTGTTGGTTGGCGTGCGTACCGTCAATACGTCTGCGATACGTGAACGGCGACAACAACAACGGTGATACGGCAACGGACTGATATGAGATTACAGCGGCGCGCTCGTAGTGGCGGCGGCAATAATAATATGACACGCGGCGTGATAACGGCGCTCAGCGTAGCGAAGATCGTAACACGCGGTGCGAGTCTACCGGTCGCGGCGGCGCGCTTGTCGTGACGGCGGCGGCAACGGGGACAAACAACGACTACTGCAACTGGGTACCGGGGGCTTGAACAGTACGTTCTTAGGCGTACCACCACCGATACCTAGCGAGAGTGTTGGGGGGATCTTCCTCTCCGTCTACTGTTAAGTGTGAGTGGCTTGAACAGTACGTTTTTAGGCGTACCACCACTCACACTGCGAGTATAGGGAGAGGGCTATACGGGAGATGGCGGTTTGAAGTTACACACTACTAAGAAGGCGGTAAGTTGAAATGGCGTGTCGATACAATGCGATGCGATCTGATGAGTTGAACTGGTGATTCCATTGACCGTGCTGGCGCATATTTATGCCATGTTTGCACTGCGGGTGGTGTGTTGTATGTATGAAAGTAGGTAGTTACTTTCATTAAGTTTCTGTATGTTGTAGATTCTCTACCCTGTGGGCGGCTACATGTAATTAGGGTGTAATCTTCTGGGGAAGATGATGGTTATGACAGTTTTACGGGCTGTCGTGGTCCTTTTCCATAAAGTCGCTGGAAGTGTTGACGGTCAGAAAACCTGCGTAACGGCGCGCACTCTATGGGGCATCATTGTGTCATTGGTTTTCTGGATGTAATACGTGTTTTCTTCTTAATTCAACTTCTTTGGTACTTCTTTATATGTTTGGCGTGTTAAGAGTGTGGTATAGCTTTAACTTACATCGTTCAATGTGCTTAAATAAGTCGTTACAGTGACAAGTTGGTAGCATGAGTAGGTATTCCTGTAGTTACGGCGGCGCGTGTTTAATAGTTTTGGTTCGCGCATTGGCGCGTGTATAGATGGCGACACATATTTCATTATAATTAATTACAATGGTAATTCTGCATCGTTACACTATTTAGACCTAAAGAGATTAAAGCTAAATGATTTTGAAAAAAAACAATTAGAATAGAAATAAAAAAAATAAAATTAATAGAAAAAACAATAAAAATCATAAACAAATAAATAGAATAAAAAACAAAAAAATAATACCTATTTTTTTTACAGTTCATTACCCGAACATGGTACATAATAATTAATAATTCAAATTTATCTTTAATTCTATTTAGTTTTCTTTATTTGCTTTGTTTTTTGGCACCTTTAATAAAAAAAAAAATAGTTGCACTAAATTAATGTATCGGAATTAAAATTCAATGTAGACCTACGTCAAAAATTCTCTTTTGTGGTTTCATTTTACCCCTTTCCAACTTATTTTTTTGATTCAAAGGCACAGTTTCAATTTTTGAAGCAGCAATAGAAACATGGATGGGTGCAACCAGTTTTTTATTGAACTGTTGTAGTTGTTCTCTTGATGTTATCTGCTGTAACGATTGCTCAATTTCTCGTAATATATTCTGCCTTAATTTGTGTAATAAAACATCTGAAAAAATTTTGAAAATATAAATTAAATAAACGTTTTTCAATTAATTCTTATTACCATCATCATCATGGTGTGATTGATTTTCCTCGTCTATACGTGTTGTCTCCATCGGTTCATCATCTTTACATGTCATCTTTGTCTGTATACTACGTCTGTGTGTGCTTTTTGTTTTTGTCGTTGATACGGTGCTTCCGGTTGGACGACCCGCGTCGTGAATAAAAAGACAGTGTCGTATTCAGTAATCAATTGTTTCTATTGCTATATGTAAAATAATTATGGTTACAATTTATAGGGTCGAGTAAAGTGTCGATTTGTGTCGACCAGACTTAATTAAGTGGGTCGACACAATCGGAGGCACTTGGGTATGTGGTCGGGCTAATGCCGGACCCTATCTTTACAATATAGGAATATCAATATGTGGTTAACATACATATATAGGCTAGGGAGTCGGCCGTCGTCGGTGCAGACTTAAATCAAGCGGCACTCCGACGATGAACCTGGCTCGGGTCGGACAACTTAATTAAGGGCC